TTTACTATATATCTACTCAGCGCGACTTGCTGACGCGACAACCATGGCTTTTTTAAATCAAAGCCCCTACATGGCAACGTTATCTGGAGGAATGGAACAAGGAAAAATCCATAAACAGAAAGATTCCACTAAATCGGAATAATTTGCCAAATGTAGCCATTTCAGCCATCTTTAATGTTTTAATTGCTGTTAGAATCATTACAGGAAATATATTCTGTGAAATGGCCTGGAAATCCAAAGCTTGGTGAAGGGAAACCTGAAAATCAAAATCATGCTATTATATTTACACGTGGAAATGCAATACAGACCATTGATATGATTCAGGTGACTACTTGTTTTTATATTGATATTGACCTGAATGTTATTTACAGGGCAAATTGATAGTATATTTTTTTATTTATTTCTCTTTGTATGTGGACAGGATAATTACTTTGAGGAGGCTTTGAAGGTGAGAAATTTTCTTGAAGAATTTTACCGTGACCATGGAGTTCGCCCCCCTACTATTCTTGGTGTTACGGAGCATGTGTTTACTGGAAGGTATGGTATTAGAGGCATTTTGTCCCTTATAGAGTTCATTTGTTTAGGCTACTGACTCTTTAAACTTGTGCATCTTCTCAGTGTTTCTTCTTTAGCATCCTTCATGTCTAATCAGGAATCTAGCTTTGTGACTCTTGGCCAACGTGTTCTAGCAAATCCTTTGAAGTGAGTTCACATTAATCGTGAATATTTGTTGTTCCATGGCATTTATAGAGTAATCATTGAAGTATGAAAGAAAAGTATGTCTAACTTGTATTTGAAATGATCATCAGGGTTCGTATGCATTATGGTCATCCAGATGTCTTTGATAGACTATTCCATATAACTAGGGGTGGTATCAGCAAAGCATCTCGCGTCATAAATATTAGTGAAGATATTTTTTCTGGTAAATTTACTTCACATTTAAGGGGATTTTGTTTCATAATTTAATGTTATTGTGTTGAATTTTAATCTTATGGGTGTAGAGTTTGGGAAATATACTATATTAACTGCGTGTAAAAGCTTACTTAAAGTTCTATATTTATATGCATGGCCTATAGGTAACATTTATTGAGTTTATTTAAAACATTCCTAGTCAAATTGGAGGATATAAGTTACAGTTTACAAGTTACATAGACAATGTTTGCTACCAAAAAAACCATTTTGTATGTCTCAGAAAGACTTAAAACCCTGGATATCTCTTCCAATTAATCTACCGATTTTACGAAGAATAATGCGCCTAGGCATAATCTATTACATATTTACATGGTGAGAAAAGATAACCATTCTTTCAGCTTTAGATTTGT